TAACAAAACTTTTATACGACAATAAAGTTCCAATATTAATTCAGCAGGACTACTCCGCAGACACTCTTATTGATTACAAAACAAGACAAAGTATTAATCATAGTGTTAATGTTACTAATGATCACGCGTATATACTATTTATTCACTTCGAAGGGTTAACACAGCGGGAGAGCACTGTTTTTTATTAATTGTATTCATTTCTAAATGCGTGCTATTATCTAAAGCAATATTCAGTGTGGCATATGTTGTATTGCGTTCAATTGTGGTAAACGCGTCACATAATTGTGCACGGCTGGATAGCCATATACTCGTAGTAACGGTCATTGCTGCGTGAATCACGTTATTAGGTCCATTGTTTGTGATTTATAGTACTAAATGAGACACTAAGCCGTGTCTTGAAGTTGAACTCTTTTAACTCGGAGTTGAATTCTGAAACCAGCTGTATGTCAAATATTGACATACAGTCGGTTTCAGGATTGAGAAGAGTCCGAAATATCCACTGATTATTCTCAACAACTTAAGTTTTTACGTTTCACACGGCAAAAAGTCCTCGTATTAGCAAACTGCTATCAACTGATCATTCAAAAAATTTTAATTAGAAATGAAAATCTATTTAGCTGACGTTTGATGGTTTAAATACGGTTTGAGTCATGCTTAATTTTAAATTCTCAATTCAGAAACCAGGTGCATGTATATCAAACGTGTAATATAAATGTTAGCGAAATTTAAATTATTGGCTTGAGTTAACCCTTTCACGTACACCGAGAATTTAATTTGGGGATATCATACATTCAAAATATTATCCGAATCGCTAGAACAAAGACTTAAAACAAACTCGCTAGGCAATTTCGAAAGGTTAATGACTACATCACCATTGTTGCTGGCAAGACGTCGTCGGAGGGGACCCAACATCTCGACGCTGTGGTTATTTTCGCGCAATCATTCAATAAACGTGATGGGAGTAATCGACAAGACCCTCAGTTGCCTCATCAGAGAAATGGGATCAATTTCTACCTTGTACTTGCGAATCCAGGTCATATGTAAGACTTATTACAATTATTTCTTCTCTTTTAAAGTTTGAGAAATGAACAATTGAGAAATGCATGCTTGTGCGAAAGTTTATTCGTTTTTCCAAAATTCCAAAACGGTATTAGTTGCTCTAGAATAAAAAATATTTGTACATACTACATTTATACTACTGCAAATATTACCACAAGTAGCGTCATATCAGTGAAACTTGCTATACGGATGCAGACTGGACAAACTTGTCGCCCAATTATAAATCGTTAAAAGTTCATTTAAATATAGCACGCATTTGATTAGAACCAATTAAACGACAATTAAGCTATTCTCTTGTTTGAGCGAGCAGTACATGCGGTGCTGTATCAATTGTTGCGAGACATTGTCTTAATGACATGAATTATACGCGCTATTAATATCTGCACAAAGCCCGTAGTCGCTCCGAATTCATGATTTACAGTTCTGGTTGAGTTTTGAGAAACAAAGATTGTCATTCAAATCATTTCCAAAGCTACCGTTATGTATAATGTTACTGAAAACTGTTAACCCAAATAAGCTTTCTTTGTTTGTAATGATGCCAACACCCTCTGACGTTATCTGGAAAGTATATTTTTTGTAAATATTCGAGTTATCAAATATAAATTCTACAGATGGTATATGTAAACAAATGTTGTAATGACATCTTTGACAATTACGGATTAATTTTGATTTCTATAATGATGTATTAGAGATATAATAAGTCACTGCGTGTTACTAATTTTTCTTGAATATCGATGTCCTGCACCTTCACAGATCGTTCATAATGGTTTCACATTTGTTTTTGTCTCTAGAAGTCGTTGCCCTCTGCTCGTTCATATATACTTCTTAATAGTCCGCTAATGTTTACTCTTTCAATATTTTACGACTGTAATTTAGGTAGCTTATGTCATACTTTAAAATTATTCATACCGTTTACGTCTGTAATACTGCTTATGTCTTGTGTCGAGACGAGATTTTGATTTCATTGTAGTTTGAGACTTTGTTTGCCGTAGGATGTTTTTGTGTCTAATTATGTAACTAAACATAAGATTAAGAAGATTAATTTAAATAATAAATGTTGATAGAATGTTCTATCTTATCAAATTCTCGGTGTTAACCAAACACTTATTATTGTTGCACACACTCAAACAAGTGTGACGCGTCGAGCGCACCATCAGGCATCCGTTCAAGGGCCTGCAGTTCCGAAGAGTTTACTTGTCGCTTTGGCTATATAATTGACAATACAAACATAATGTCCTGAGTGAGCTTCGTGTCTGTCAAGTTGACAACTCGAGTCTCTAACGAGGTGTACACACAAGTTCACGAGGTGTGACCTGTGCCAGACGCTTTGGAAATTTTGTTGAACCTACCTTTACCCGAAATTATATTTACTAAACAAACAGCCGTGTTGTATTATGGATTATTTTGTTGCCCCGTAATATGTAAACTGTAATATGGATGTGTTGGATTCACGATGTTATACGTATGTATGTACGTTATTATAATAAACAGCCGTGGTCTGAGGTGCGTCTGATTGCCCTCGGTTTCGAACGCACCGAGTGCGGCCATTTGAAATCGACAGTGGTTACAATTTTCCCTGGAGCTCAGTTGCGCGGGCGCAATGTCCGATGGAAAGCAGCGTTTAACCAATGTTCCGCTCTGATAACTCTCTAATTACGCGTCCGCCGTTTTCCTTCGACACTTCGCGACCAACGACTTAACCCTTGGCTTCTCACTGGAACGTTTCACCCGACATTACACAGGCACGCTCATTTGTTTGCTACACTTTCGCCTTTGACGACTTCAGTGCCGCATTGTGTCATAAGGCAGAAACATATTACGCCATAAATCCCTGTTGTTCTGCGATATTTTAAAGCAGCCCTATTGGCTACATCATATCACATACTTCTATTGCTCTATGCCACGAGTATGCTAGAAAATAATACATTTCTATTTAAATTTATTTACGAATTTAACTGTATAATTTATCGTGATTCAATAATATAGTGCTAATATTTCTAATTTCATTTACACTTGATTGCATATTATACGCAATCTTCATAGGGACTGATCTGTTAAAAAATATTTCCCGAATTTGCAGACTATAGAAAAGACTATCGCTGTTGATCTTCATATACATAACTTATTGAACTATAAAACCGACAATTAATAAAAAAAGCAATAAGAATTGAAAATGGATATTTGCTCATAAACGAGGCAAAGTGCCATGCGAGCATACTTCGAGGACAATTTATTTATTTGAATATATAAAACGCCTATAAAACACTGAATGCTCCTACAGAGCGAATCATTTGTTGGTAAATCACGACCTGTGTCACGAGGATCCGGTCAGAAATTTTCATTTAGTCACGTAAACAAGTTGAACTATACAAGCATGGGAGGAACAATCTCCTGCGAAGGACAAGTGCAATAGACAAAACATTTACCGCTTCTGATCCGCTATTGCTCATAAGCAGAACAATAGGTAATCGTAGCACAACTAAAATCATGCGTATGTCATTATTTATCTACCGGTAGCTACTAAACGCAAGTTCTAACAGTTTCTACTCATACTACGGCTTGAATAATCAGTAAATAACGATTATTTTTAATCTCATTAGATTGATTCGTTATCTGAGGAATTTACTGTTCGGATGTTAGGTAAGATTTTGTTAAGCCCGTCTGTGTGAATTCGTCAGCTTCTTATATTACATAGCAAACAATAAAATATAAAATAAGTTATTTGTATGTTTTATACTAAAACACTTTAGTATTCGTGTTTACGATCTGTGATCGCAGGATTGAGACGTAGGCGAATGGAATATACAATGACATGTCGTTCACTCCGATTGAGGCCGCATACAAGATGTGGTGTAACATACATTATGTATACCATTCGTAACCCGTCCCAATCTTAAAAGATCCTTCAGTCTTGTAAACTTATTCCTTAAAGTATCAGAATGTTGAATATTATAGCTCAATTCATGTTATATAAACTTCATGGAATTAACTCCTGGTCAAATCTCTCCAGGATAAGATAAGTGACACATTTGCCTGCAGGTGTGAGCACAATAGATACAAGTGTACTGTTGTAGTAATAACCGAGCCGACCGACCATTGCCCCTCGCTCGACGATGGAGGAACATCGTCGGGTAACAATCATGTCTCGTACATCGACGCGACGAACGACACTTGAACAATGGTATACAATCACTTCAATTGTACCCGACTCATGCGCATGTTAACTGTCTCACATTAACGAAAGTATAATGTTATGGCTATAGTGTTATTTAGTCCCGAAAATTTGCATCTAGACGATGCCACGGCACGGCACACTCTCAATCATGAATACAGGACCGAAAATGTTACAGAAATTAATAATTCATAATAGGTAACCGGACGAGGATTGGTCGTTATAAATAAAAGTAACCATTAAAATTCTACACACCCCGGGGCACTAAAGTACCACTTTGAGATTCAGTTAATTGGAAATATTAACCATTTTAACATGGCGTCCATTAGTGAAAACGAGATGTATCCGAGCAGGTAGACGATGAAATCAGCCTCCCTTCAGGGGTATGTTTTTTGTTAAAGTTGGCAGGTACCAGACCCTCTGGGGCATATTGTATATTGTATTTTTTTTTCACTACAAAAACTTGGGATTGTGAAACTAAGATAAACGAAAAAGGATATACCTCTGTGGTAGGGTTCAAAATAGGACGTTTTATCGGTTATAAAAAGTAAACTAAACTTTGGGGTACCCTTGCATTTACATGGGAAAAAATTTAAGCACATTTATTTTTCAAAACTTGAAAATATGTATTTAATTAATTACACATTGATATTATATACAACTTTTCGTATTAATGTTTTTTTTTTCACTAATCTACATAATGAAATCTTTGAAACTCTTATGGATCGAACAGACATCATTATTAAACACTATCTTTCTTCTATTTCAGAATCAAACTCGTCCAGTGCAGACGATAACAGGTGCCCTAAATGGCGTCAGTGCAGGCGCAGTCACCGGTACTAATTGGGAACAGCACCCAGTACTAGCGCGGGCAGCGTCAGTACCGGCGCATCGAGCGCTAGCTGGTCTGCTAGACCGCCTTGGCCACCGCCGTCTCGAGCGCACCACCAGCGAACCTGCTCCCCCTCCACCTGCTACCAGCCGCTACAAGACAGAACTTTGCAGGCCATTCGAAGAGGCCGGTGTTTGCAAATACGGTGACAAGTGCCAATTCGCCCACGGAGTTCGCGAATTACGCAATCTACAACGCCATCCGAAGTACAAGACAGAATTATGTCGTACCTTCCATTCAGTCGGCTTCTGTCCTTATGGGCCCCGATGCCATTTCGTGCACAATGCCGAGGAAGCGAGACGCCGTGAGCCTTCTTCACCTGGCGGTTCTTTAGCGTCATTGTCGTCGGGCGGCTCTATGGCTTCATATATGAGTGACGGATCACGTTCTCCACGTTCGCCTCATTCCCCGATCGCGCCGCAGTCACCGTTAGCCCCGCACTCTCCGCCGGCGATGTCGCCGCCCGCACACGCCACCGCGTTTGCCTTCCGCGGCTCGCACTCTCCCGACCCTGAAGACGATCGACTGCCAGTATTCAATCGTCTGTCATCTGCATTCGGCGACCTCATCATCGCCTAGGACGTTGCGTTCGACTAGTCTTAAGTTAAATTATACTGATAATAGAGTAAGAATCGTCTGTCACCACAGTGCCTACTCGACGTCTTCCAGCCGCCGCCGCGCGCGTCCCGCACACTTGCTCAACGATGATCTCCAGTTTGTCGATACTTCTCTGCTGCGCCCGGTAATTTATGAAGTGTTCACTGGCGTCTCGAATGTTTGCGGTGTGAATATAGTGATTACGTACATCTTTTAGTTATTGGCACGCACTTGTAAATGGCACCTTATTATGTTAGATATTTATTGCATAGCTCGCGGAAGTCTTCCCGATGCGATCCTCCGCCGAGCGGTGGTCTCTGTAAAGTTAGCTTATAGAACATTTTATTTATTTCATACTGCCTATCCGCGCTCGGTAACGTACCGTGAGAAGGCGCTCGTGATCTATATTTAAGGGTTTAAGATAGTAATTTATTATTTATTTCGAGTCTCTTTAACTGTAATAATTATTTTTATGTAGCTAGCAGTTGCGATGCCGCACCGCAATCGGACGGGGCCCGCGTCAACGGGACGTGGCTCTTACATATAACGAATCGACTGACAATTCCCTCAATGAACTAAATAATTTATATTTGAAACACGAGTAAGGAAATGTTAGTCGATACCTGTCTCGGGAGTTCGGAGGGTCAATCGCGATCTTCATATTCAATAATTATCTTTCGCTGCTGTGAGCCCTTGTTCTAAAGATCTCTCGTAAGCCGCGGTGCTACTAAACACGCACTCCAGCGACCTCAATCACCCGCGGTACACAGAGAGCCGATGTGATCCCGCGTCTAGCGGCTCCGCAAAGGACTTTTTCGTTTTGCGTCGTGCAGCGAGGGCGGGCGAGCGGTCTGAAACCTGTTTTGAGTTTTGGTGATTATTTTTTCGTCCTCGAAGCGCAGCCGAGTCCCTCCCGCGCACGATGCTGAGCATGATTGCGTTCGAGCGCTGGCAAAAAATGATAATACTCGTGAAAACGCCCACCGAACTCCCTAGAACTAGTGCTGATGAAATTGCAAAGATAGTACATGGATATATAAAATAATAAGACGCATGTTTATATTGGTGCGGGGCGCGACGGCTCTCTACCCCGCGCTTCCACGCCCCGCGCCCCCCGCCACCCTCACAAAGAGTGCCTTTTACTTTATAACGAAAAACAAATCGATTATAATATTTAATTTTTAGTTGATCGAGATAGATTGTTTATTTATTGTCTCTTTTGAATATGAAAATTCAAATTGGCACAGTTATTACTTTTTGTACTTGACAGAGCTAAGTGATTAGTTTGGACTTAGAATAGTTTCTTCTTTGAATAAAGTGTGATATTTTATAATATTTATATAACAAAGTTTAAAGTTTTAATTAAGGGACCAATATTAGTGATTCGATAGGAGAAATTCTGATAGATACATCCAGATACGCTTTCGATTCTTACCAAGAGACTGTACCCTCGCGTTACACGTACATTTTTCTATTTTTGTTATACTAATTGTAAACAGATCTATGATATATGTATTTGTACCAATAAAACATTTGACCATAAGATTGGCTTTGTGTTTATTATAGACAGCTTTATAGAACCGAGATGGTATTTTTTTTGTTTATCTTTATTTAATTATTTTCAGTTTTTCTCCATTTTTTTTAAAGAGAGTCGTATCGTGACCACAGAAAAAAAAGATAATAATTTTGTACCTAATGTTAAGGAACTACCTAGATATAAGCGTTTTCATAAAGTTCACGAAGATTATTTATTATCAGTTCATTACGAATTATAAAACCATTTAAAAGTTGATTTATTTAATTTCTTTTGTATTTAAAACGTCATGTAAGTGTACGAATATTGTAACTTAATGTTTAGTAATATTATCATCAGTCATTTAATGTAACAAGCATTAGTTTAAAACTCTAGTACCTATTTCAGTTATGATTAAGTATTTAATTTTTTTTAATTTAATTTCAATTATAAGTTAATCTTCAAAAAAAATTTGACTGCGTAATTCTATTTTCTTATGGACAAAACAAATTAAGGCTAAAGCTTGTTTATGACATTTTTCATTATTTTCTTATAAGTTTTCCTTATTTCCATCTGCATTTTTATTGAAATATAGTCAAAATATGTTATTTACGCTTTTTATTTTTGTTTTCTTTCCCTTTCCTTTATTTTTTTTGATGAATAAAATTCTTAATGATCTTGAAAAGTAATATAACCACTTGAGAAATCCACTTCAGAAAAATCACATGGCTCACTTACACTGGACGATGATGTCCGCCTGCGGATTGCGGGTGTTTTTTTGGCACATTTTCATTGACCGATTCCGAAGAGGTCACTGCGATCCGTATGCTTACCCCGACGAGCGGTATAATTGAGCCATTAAGCCCGATACACGCTGTACTTACCTTTCTGAATCGTTTACATCTTTTTGTGGTTCAAATGGAAAAAATAAGCTTAACTACCAAGAGACAAGTTACCACGCCAAAACTGGCTTTAGGGTATACTATAATGTACTATCTAGGTGCAGTCAAAAGCACAATATAAAAGGCAATCAGACGATTTTGAGTCTTGACAATTCAGTTCCAAGTTGATTGCAGAAAGTTTACTTTTTTAGCAACTTGCTACTGTGTGTACAATAGGTGGAAAATTTACTAGAACATTAGACGATTTTTGCACTGGATTTGACCTCCGATGCGCTACATCTTGCTAAAAAATGTTTTAGTAGAGTTGTCGGTAAGTTAATATCGTATTTAGGAGAAAAAGAGAAGGTAACTTTCTGTATTCTAATGTCGTAACCGGTGTATTGAAAAGGTAAAAATTCGAATCTTGCTAGGACAAGGACGTCATCATTATCAGCGTATTGATGTCACTGCTGGTGCACAGGCCTTGCCAACGACTGGAATCTAATATGGCTAATGGATGAAAAATCTATAATCTTCAGCTGGAACTTACCTTACTCGATAAAATCTCATAGCAGCGCTAACATAGCATAAAGGTTCAAATAAAATGAATAAATATTTTATAAGGCGATTCTATAAAAATCCGAACCCTAATTCGAATTCACTCATATTGCAGAAATCACGTCATTTAATGAATAAATTCTATTGATTCCATTTTTTGTATATAAATACAAAACAAAATTGATTGATCATACCTACGTGTCTCAGATATTCTATTCCTATGTCATTTCGAAACTCATATCACTTATGCCTCGAACGTTATTACCAATTTTACCTTAGTGTAATCTGGTTCGGATTTTCGTTTCGCAGGGCTGTTCTTGATTTGAGATAAATTTATTGGATGTATTAGACTGATGGTTGATTGATGAAACTTTGGATCATAGGACAAAAAAGTATTGGAAATCTTTATAGGTACGGGCCGATGGAAATAATTCGGATTCCTGTAAACTTGCACATACTTAGGTATTATATATTATAATACTAATCGGTATACCAAAAGTAAATATAGTAAGTATAAGTACTTACTAGGTAAGTGTTGATACTTGTATCAACAATTATATTATACGCATATCAACGCAATCCGTAAATGCCGCAAGGAAATCAGAAAATTAAAATTATATAGTCCAAGAAAAATCTAATGATTCATTTATATCGCCGCCTGCTGTACCCACCAAAGTACCTATTTAGTACTTCAATAAAGCATTTTTGAAATCGGTTGAGTAGTTACGGAAGTAAGTACTGTATACCAACCTATCTAAACTTTGGAGCCTATTCAATAAAAATATTTCCTCTTACCTAGGTTAATTTATCTGTGAATCATAAAAAAAAAAAATATCTTTCGATAGTACTTAATGATTCATAATTTTCAAAATTTCCCCTAATGTATTATCTACTTATACATTTCTAATTATTTTAACGTCGTCTATAATAATGTCAGATAAGTAAGGTCATAAGTTAAGAGAACTTAGAAAAAATGAATGAAAAATTGATCAAGATAAAACAAAATGTATCCACTTATTTGATCTTTGATATCTACTTACAAAAAATAAAGAAATTTCTTAAGATAGTACCTACGTAAAGTACTCGCAAGATAATCAATTTTAAGAATAAGTACCCTCATACATTAAAAAAAATAGTTCAATTTTAAGAATAAAAATTCGTTAATAAGAGACTTCGAAGAGAAAATTCAGCGACAGTTTAAACTAACTATTATCTACCTATTAGAAAAACGTATTTTTGTTGAAAATATAGCGACAAATCATTTGATAATGAGGTAGGTAATTCCATACCAAGGAAGACAATAATTTACAATTAATAATGAAACGTAATAAAAGGATAATACTTCACTCGTCGTGACAATTATCATAGCATAATAGGTAATAATGTAAGTTCAATGAATAAACAATAACTTTCGATGTCTTCAACAGAACGCATTTAAAAGCTAACGTAATATTATCGGACATTCAACTACCACAAACGCCATCTACTTATTTATCTAAGCATTCATGGAATAGCAAATGGCGGACTTAATGCCAAGGGCATTCTCTACCAGTCTACCAGACAGAAAGTAGGAAGCAAGATGTATGGCGATAAAGAAAGTAGAAGTAAGTACTAAACAAAAAAAAACAAAAAACAGTTATACATAAAATAATAAACAAATAGATTTATGCATAAATAAATATTGATATATACGTATATTATAAATATATACAATAACATATATACATATATACTACATATAACATATATACTACATAATATCGGATTCATGAAAAACTAAGGACTATTTAAATAGTGTTCATGCGCTAGTCTTTTGAACACACTTTTGCTTTTGGCCTTCCGAATGTCTTCTGGCAAAGCATTCCAGAGGCGAGTAGAAGTTACAGTAAAGGAGTTTGACATAAAGCTGGTTTGATGAACAGGGGTTTGAAGAGTAATATTACTACTAGAGCGAAGTTCTCGCTGATGACAAGCACCCAAAAACTGGAATCTTGATTTTAGATATCTCGGAGTACGTGGATCGTATAGGATGTTGTAAAGAGTGGAAACAACTCTAAGATTCCTGCGCTTACGAATAGGCAACCATTCGAGTTGGTTTCTATACTGAGAAATATGGTCGAACTTACGTAATCCAAAGATGAACCTTATACCACTGTTGAGCAAACGATCCAATTTATCAAGGAGAATCTGATTGGTGTCAGAATAGCAGACATCAGCGTAGTCCAGAATAGGAAGAACGAGAGCCTGTACAAGCGCAACTTTGGTACTGAAAGGGAGAAAAAATTTAAGTCTATAGAGAGACCTGAGCGTGTTGATCACCTTGCGACACACTTCATTAACCTGGCCGTCCCAACTAAGTGTACAGTCGATAAGCAAACCTAAGTTTTTAACCACTGGCTGAAATGGAATGATTTCACCATCGTAAATTAAGCGACTAACCGTATTGAGATCAATTAGAGCCAACTGTCTAGAACTGCCAATAATAATAGCTTGGCACTTAGCTGTGTTGACGGCAATACCATAAGCCTTGGACCACTCTAAGATATTAAGGAGATCCTGATTTATAGCAGCAACTGCGTCATTTAGCTTGCTTTTGTCAGCTTGAGTATAAAGCTGAAGATCGTCCGCGTAAAGATGGCAAGAAGAATGAAATTGAGTGGTAAGAGAATTAATAAATAGAGAAAAGAGGAGAGGAGAGAGAATACCGCCTTGAGGTACGCCAGCAGTCAAATCGCACCAGTCAGATATAATCTGATCAGCCCGAACCGCCTGCTGTCGTCCACGAAGATAAGATGAAAACCATGCCGTAGCAGAAGAAGAGAGACCCGATTGTGAAAGGATAGCAAGCAGAATATCATAATTGACCGTATTGAAAGCATTCGAAAAATCAATCAAAACCATAACCGTTAATTTTGAATTGTCCATCCCTTCGCGTATATCTTCCAAAACGTTAAGAAGGGCAGTGGTGGTACTATGACCAGGTCGAAAACCAGACTGAAAAGGACTTAAAACGTTATTACGAAAAATGAAAGTAGAAAGTTGCTTGTGAACGGCTGCTTCTAAGATTTTAGAAAGAAATGGCAATATGGAGATCGGTCGAAAGTGGTTGGGAACTGTAGGATTATGGATTTTAGGAAGTGGTATCGTGAATGCCTTTTTCCAAGACATAGGAAACACACCGGAAGAAAGAGAATAGTTTAAGATGAAGGTGAGGACAGATAGAATACAATCAAGAATGGGATTAATCATCTTTCGTCCGATATCGTCATAACCCACGGCGTTAGATTTAATAGACATAACGATTTTACGAATGTCCTCTTCAGAGAGCGGAGTGAAAGAGAATGGTTCATCAATAGAAGCAGCCTCGGACGTAAGGGTGGTGACAGTGGAAGAAGTTATAGTTTGAGATAGAGAACAAACCGAAGAAAAATGCTTGTTAAGATCATTTAACGGAAGAGATGGATTCTTCTGTACAGTAGATTTACCGAAACCCAAAGTGCGGAGAAATTTCCAAGTATTAGCAAGATTGGAATTTAATATATTGGAGTGAAAGTATTGGCGTTTGGCACTTCTTACCATACTATTACAACGATTTCTTGCAGTTTTAAATGCATTCCAGTTATCATCGGTACGACATCTTTTGAAAATATGAAAAGATTTATTGCGTCTCCTCATCGCCATACGTACACCAGTAGTGATCCAAGGAGCAGGCGGCCTCTTCAATTTGACTCGTTTTTTAGGTGCATGCTTTTCAAAAAGGTCTAGTATGAGACTGTTAAAATGATCCACCATGGCGTCCACAGATGGAGCTTCACGGATGGGTGACCAGTCAGCAGCGCATGCATCGATCCTTAGTTTCTGCACATCCAGCCTAGCAAAGTTACGCATTCGTACGAATAGAGGTTTTGGTTTAGGGGGTTTGGCTTTATAAGCAAGAAAAAGAAGATCATGTCTGGAGAAGCCAGGCGCCAAAAGTTGACCATGATTGGAAACCAGTGCAGGAGAAGAAGTAGCAATGTGATCAATCCACGAGTCAGGAGAAGTGAGATTGTGATGAGTAGCATCAAGAGGTAGTAACGAAAGATTCACAGATTCGAATATGGAACGAAACTTATTAGATTGAGCAGAATGCTTTAAAAGGTCTGTATTAAAATCGCCCATTATAATA